CCTACTTACTTATGTAAGTAAACTACTTACATAATTTACTATAATTCAATTTTATTTGTATAAGCCAGTGAATTATTGTTTAGAAAAATAGTAGTCTCTGGAAACCAAGTTGAAAAGTCTTATTTACAGTGCAGATTGGACAGTATTTTTTTAATTGCTGTCAAATTTAGGTAGGTCAAGCACCTATAAACAGTTACATGAGATAATCATAGAAATTTGGGATTATGCTCTATCTTGGTTCGAAACATCTAAATCCTTGCTCCAATTAAATGAACTAAAACTGTAAATCGAAGATGTATTATGGGGGCTGGGGTCGTGCCTAAGAGGTAGAGTGCTTGCCTAGCATGCGTGAGACACTGGATTTGATCCTCAGTACCACATAAAAATAAAAATATTGTGTCCACCTATAGCTAAAAAATAAATATTTTAAAAAGATGTATTATGAGGATGATTCATGCACTAATGATGAAATGGAACTAGACTCAAGCATAAACCTTTGGCCTTCTGTAGAAGGACTAGCCAGTGAATGTGCAGTTGTCTGTCAGTGTCCATGAGAGCTTGGTTCCAGGACACCTGAAGATACCAAAGTCCACAGATGCTCAAGTCCCTTGTATTGAATGGTGTAGCATTTGCATAGAACCTGTATACATCCTTTCTTATACTTTAAATCTTCTCTAGATGACTTATAATACCTAACACATGTAAATGTTGTATAAATACTTATTATACTGTATTCTTTAGAGAACAATGACTCAAAAACAATGTGCATGTTCAGTGCAGATGAATTTTTCCCCAAATATTTTAATTTGGTTTTTGATTGAATCTACATGCAGAACCTTTGGGTATAGAAGGCCCGGGTGCTTAGTTGAGATAGTTGTTTTTTGAGATAGTTGGGTTCTGTAAGGTCACTCCAAACACAGAAGTAGCAAATACGCAACCATTGTTCCCTAGGGGAAATACGGGGTTCCTTGGTACCTCCAGTCCTATTTTCATCAACTAATCAGTGCAGAACCTTGTTTTGTGTGTGTGTTTCTGTTTGAAGTACATTCTTTGATATATATTACTGATTCCTACATTGAACTCACAGCCAACACAACAATAACTCATGCTTTTCTAATACATGCAGTACACACGTTTTTCTCCATAAAGCACATTATAACCTCTCGTTCTTAAGAACACAAAACAGCACTTCAGGACCACACGAGGGGGCCATTGTAACACTGAAATCACTAATAAAAAGCACAAAAATGTGAAGAACATGGCATGAAATAGCACAAAGGACATTTATTTATAGCATGAGAGTTGAACAAGAAGGCAAAGTAGTGTCCTTCAACCTCAGCTAGGAATGTGTATATTGGGCAACTCAAGATTTTCACTGCTTTGTACATGTCTGCAAATGACCACAAAATCATTACAAGTATCAATTTTGGATTTGCAAATAAATTTTAGCAACGTAGACGTTCACAAGTACAGAACACAAAAATAATCAGAATCACTGTTTTGTTCTGATTTATTTAAAGTTGTGTTTCAGACATATATGTGTGTATATATATTTTAGGTTAAATACTTAAGATGTATATAAATTCTTTTATGAGCTCTCTCTACCTGGCTTTGAATAAAAAGCCCTTCTCTGCAAGGAGTGAACCCTGCTGGCTTCACAGGTAAAGGTGAGCTGGGAAGAAACGCTAGGCTTTCTGCTGTGATGTTTACTAATGCTCTTTATCTCATTTTGCTTAGGTTGAAATGAGCTTGTTTAGGTGTTGCAACATCTCTGCAACCAGGACAGTGCCTAACACTAGTAAAACCTAATTTAAAACACTGCCAATCATGTACAACTAAGTAGAACAAATAAATAAAAATAAAACACTGTAAATATTCTGCACAAAATATCTATAGTAAATACTATTTTCTGCATGCTGGAAGAGCAAGTTATATTGCAGACTCAGGTGGGAACACCTGCCTGATCTGCTGGGTGGCAGGACCCCCACTACACTTGCTTACAGGTTGCTTCTCTCCTCATTTTCTCACCTTTCAGGGAAGGCAAACCTAACTTCCATCCCCTCCGACTCCCCTGAACTATCTCCAGTTCACAAAGTACCAGACCAGATTGTGTCATAGGCTCAAGTGCCCAGCTTTCCCTGAGTATAAATCCCAAGTCTGTGTAGTTTTCCTGAGCCTTGGCTTTGGCACTTCCCTTGAGACCCTGACTCCCACCCCTGTGTGTGCACAGACATACAAACACACTTCTTTCTAAAGCTCTGGTTGGTCAGTAGGTGTACAGGAAGAAACATGGTCTTGCTGGGGAAATGGGCTCCTTCACATTGTGAGTGCCACAGAGGGACTCAGTGTAGGGACTTTCCTTCTGTAGTTTTATCAATGAAGCCCCCACACTCAAACACACCTGTTGCAGATGGTGGTCTAGGTGTTGTCAAAACTGAAGAAAAGAGAAAAAGTCAGCTAATTCGCTGTTTGCAGTAAGGTAGTTCTGTCTCTTGAATGTATAAGGGATTTTTCAGATGTATACAAAAGTAGAGAAAATAATATAATGAACCCCCACGTATCCCTCACCCAATTTCAGGAATTAACAACTCACAGTCAATTTTGTGTCATCTCTTCCCCAACCCAGATAATTTCTAAACAGTAATTTCTTAATAATATCAAATGTCTGGTTAGAGGTCAGTTTTCCCGATTCAGATATTTCTTTGATCCTTAGTTTAGTGCAGAGCTCCCAGCTGACTAGTGCCAAGGTGATGGATCGGTGATCATGTGCAGTTGAACTTGAACCTGGAAGATCTGAAGTCAGGACTTCCCTTTCCAGTGTGGTAGAATAGGACAAAGGTTCTCAGCAGCCTCCAAGGTGTACTGTCCCCTCTGTGTCCGTAGCTGAGAACATGGAATGTGTTCCAGCCAGAAGACCCTGGCCCTGAGCAGCGTGCCCATGCAGTTTCCCTACTTAACTCTGTTTTCTAACCTATGATTTAGACTTCTGGGCACTTGGGTGAGGAATGGTTCCTGCGGATCATAGCCTATCCCCTAGGACCTGCCTACCCACAAGGTGCCAGCCACACCATCTGGGCCCATGGTGTAACAGCTTCAGTCCCTAAAGCTGTTTTGGGTTATCTGAATCCAGTTCTTCCCTGGGGCCTTGACTGCAGCTTGGCAGCTCAGAGACTCACCTCAAAGGGAGCATTGTGCTTTGAATGGCTCCTAGGAACCCAGTATTCTAAATGTAGTTGAACAATGACAGGAATCTTGCTAGGGAGGTGTCCACAGTTAGCAGAGGAGAGAAGAGAGGTGGATATACAACAGGACCCCGTTCCACCACCAAGTGATAAAGCAAGCAGAGCTGCACATACTTGGCACTTCTTCCTTTCAACGCTTCATCAAAGAGAGCTCAGCTGCTTCGTGGGTGATTTCATTATCTCTTTATTTCCAGAGAAGAATTTCATAGCAAGAAAACTTTCCATTAAAGTGTATGCAATGTAAACAGGAGCCAGTTGCCTTACCTCTGTGTAGCACAGTGGTAGTAAGACCTACTTTAGAAGGTTTGCAAAGGTGTAATGATGCTTGGCATGCAGAACTTTTTGCCTTCAAGGAAATATGCCATAGCTGTATGGCCCCATGCAGTTGAGCCTTGGAAAGGAGGCTAAGGTGAATGACGAAACTTTATTAAATTTCTATTGAAATAGTCACATGTGTCTCAGTGGCTGTATTTAGTATAGATCTAGGAGATGTTGATAATATAATTATTGTATCATTTTTAATATGGTTCTCAGTGAAGACCCAGAAGACAACACTGTGAAAAGTAGAGACAGTCTTAGAAAATGGCGTTTGCTTTGCATCTGAGTAGCCAGAACATTGTAGGATGTCAAAGATTGTCTCTAAAATTAAGGATCATGATTTATTTTTCCTTTGTTTTATTTTTAAGGGCCACAGTTTAATAAAAAAAATGTTTTTAAAGTTGTAGATGGACACAATACCTTTGTTTGTTTATTTGTTTGTTTATGGTGCTGGGGATTGAACCTAGGGCCTTGTGCATGCAAGGCAAGCATTCAACCAACTGAGCTATATCCCTAGCCCTGTTTTTTTTTTTTTTTTTTTATGTGGTGCTGACAATTGAACCCAGAGCCTCACACATGGTAGGCAAGTGCTCTACCGCTGAGCTACAATCTCAGCCCTGGCCACAATGTTTAAGTAGGTTGTATTCGTGAGACTCTTTCAAGGAAGGGAGATAGCCTTGTGATAGGCAAGGGTGGGAGTAAGAACTTGGCCTTACATTTTGTCTTGCTTCTTGGCTCTGTGACTTTGGTCAGTTGATGAACATTTTTAAGCCTCTGTGTTTCCATCTGTAAGAAGAGGATGGTAAAACCTGTTGCCTTGCCGCAGTGTATGCACTGCCCTGGCAGGTCTTACACTTAGTGTGGGCTCAGTATGTGGGAACTACAGTTGTTTTTCAGATAATGAATGCAATAGTAGAATTTAATAAGCAATTATTATTCCTTGCTACCAATTCGGTTAGGGAATTGAATTATATTATCCTTATCAGGAATCTTGCTGGGGAGATTGTCGCCAAGGATGCTGCTACAGTTGCTCCAGGCACTGCATAAATGTATCTTTTTGCCCTTTAAATATTTACAATAATTAGAACCCATTGAGCAGAGGGAAGAACACCACCTCTGAAGTGATCCCTTGACGTTGCATGACTCAGGTCTGCAGCAGTGGCCTCAGGGTCCCGGCTGTCTTCTGAAGATGAGATGTTTGGTCATAGATACATCTTGTACTGCCTGCAAAGATTTGGTGTCCAGGGTTAGTAGAACATAATTTTAAAAAATAAACAGAAGAGATTTTTTTGTTGTTAACCACAAGCACACTGGCTTCTTGGTGTCTTATTTGTATTGTGTTCAGTTGAAATGAAGCAACAAAAGACATCATGAAGCCAACAGACAAGTGGAAACTGACTGAGCTACCTCTTTGTATCTTTGTCCCTCTCTTCTCCCTAGATGTGACATTTGCTGTGTCACCTTTCGAACACACCGAGGACTGCTGCGCCACAACGCACTTGTCCACAAACAGCTTCCCAGGGACGCAATGGGAAGGCCTTTCATCCAGAACAATCCTTCGATTCCTGCTGGCTTCCATGACTTAGGATTCACTGACTTCTCCTGTAGAAAGTTCTCTCGCATTTCTCAGGTATACTGAGCAGCCTGTTGAACCAGCAGCTGCCTCATGGTCTGCTTAGTTGGATTAAGCTCCCTTATCCTGAGGGTCCCTTTTTCAAAAACGTTGTCTGTTGGATTTTTATCTTTTTTAGAACACCTTTTCTCTGAAAACTCCACTTGACCCTTTCTGTATTCCATTTCATCAGCCCATTCTTGGGGCTTTGGAATTTAAAATTGTAAATTGTTCACCACCCCCACCCAAGCCCTGTTGTAATTTGAATTTGTTTTAATTCTTGCTTCTGCATCAAAGCTAAGTATTTCTAACACTGTAGGTTCTGTGAGAAATGAGGGAGGAGCTGGAGGGTGCAGCTCAGTGGGAGAGTGCTTGCAGCAACAGTGAGGCTCTTCCTGTGCACAGAGCCAAGAAGCAAGACAAACTTGTTCCCTCTGTGTACACCACCAGTGCCCCAAGATGTCACCCCTCCTGCCCCTCTCACGCAGTGTTCCCTCTGTCACAATCACAGAGGTAACCAGTTCTCCGGCTTCTGTCACATTACTTTTGCGAGGCACCAATTTTTTAAAAAAGAAAGAATTCTACCTGCAAGGTGGTGCTATTTCACTGTACTTCAGTATCTCCCTGGTGACGGTGTCTTTCATCAGGCAAACACGATTCTTTAGATGCTTTGTAGTTTTCCTAACTCAGTTCCGGGTTAGCCATCAGGGGAAGATCAGCCCCTTATCTATTCATAGAGAAAGACTGCATACTGGGACAGTTACACAACAGATACTTCTCGCATCTCCCTTAGTGATGATTTTTGACTCTTTACCTTTGTTCCCTTGCTTTTGCTGGTGGATTCTACATAGGCCTGGTGTGAAACAAACCTACGAAGGTGCATCAGCGAGCAGCACCGTTTTGTCTGTGACACCTGTGACAAGGCGTTCCCCATGCTCTCGTCCCTCATTCTGCACAAGCAGACCCACATTGCCTCGGACCAGGGACGGGAAAAGCTGCAGGCCAAGACCCTGGCCGGTGATGTTCTGGACCAGAAGGCCTTCCTAACCTTGCTGGGCCTGCAGCACACCAAAGACATCAAGCCTGTGCCCACTGAGGAGCCCCTGCCCGATGACAACCAAGCAATACAGCTCCAGACACTCAAGTGTCAGCTACCTCAGGACCCTGGCTGCACCAACGTGCTGAGTCTGTCTCCTTTCGAAGCTGCTTCCCTAGGTGGTTCTCTCACAGTCCTTCCAGCTACCAAGGAGAGCATGAAGCATCTGACCCTACAGCCCTTCCAGAAGGGCTTTATCATCCAGCCAGATAGTAGTATTGTGGTCAAGCCCATCTCAGGAGAGTCAGCCATCGAGTTGGCAGACATTCAGCAAATTCTGAAGATGGCAGCCTCGGCTCCCCCACAAATCAGTCTTCCACCTCTCTCCAAGGCCCCTGCCACCCCTCTGCAAGCAATTTTCAAGCACATGCCCCCTCTGAAGCCAAAGCCCCTGGTCACACCCCGGACGGTGGTGGCCACCTCTACACCCCCTCCTCTCATCAACACCCAGCAGGCCTCCCCAGGATGCATCAGCCCCAGCCTCCCACCACCACCCCTGAAGCTCCTCAAGGGCTCAGTGGAGGCCGCCTCCAATGCCCACCTGCTGCAGTCCAAGTCGGGGGCCCAGCCAAACACGGCCACCCAGCTCTTCCTGCAGCAGCCCCGGGTAGAACTGCCAGGCCAGCCCGAGATGAAGACGCAGCTGGAGCAGGACAGCATCATTGAGGCCCTGCTGCCCCTGAGCATGGAGGCCAAGATCAAGCAAGAGATCACAGAGGGGGATCTGAAGGCCATCATGACAGGGCCCAGTGGCAAGAAGACCCCTGCCATGCGCAAGGTGCTATACCCCTGCCGCTTCTGCAACCAGGTGTTTGCCTTCTCGGGAGTCCTGCGTGCCCACGTGCGCTCCCACCTGGGCATTTCACCCTATCAGTGCAACATCTGCGACTACATCGCTGCCGACAAGGCCGCTCTCATCCGCCACCTGCGCACGCACAGCGGGGAGCGACCCTACATCTGCAAGATCTGCCACTACCCCTTCACAGTCAAAGCCAACTGCGAGCGGCACCTGCGCAAGAAGCACCTCAAGGCCACCCGCAAGGACATCGAAAAGAACATCGAGTATGTGAGCAGCAGTGCGGCAGAGCTGGTGGACGCCTTCTGTGCCCCCGACACGGTGTGCCGGCTGTGCGGAGAGGACCTGAAGCACTACCGCGCGCTGCGCATCCACATGCGCACGCACTGCGGCCGTGGCCTGGGCGGCTGCCACAAAGGCCGCAAGCCCTTCGAGTGCAAGGAGTGCAGTGCCGCCTTCGCGGCCAAGCGCAACTGCATCCACCACATCCTCAAGCAGCACCTGCACGTGCCGGAGCACGACATCGAGAGCTACGTGCTGGCGGTGGATGGCGGCCTGGGCCCTGCGGAGGTGCCCGCCGAGGCCTCCGGAAGGGAAGAGGAGAGCGGCTGTGTCGCCTTCAGTGACTGCAAGCCCATTGCCGCCTTCCTGGAGCCCCAAAACGGCTTTCTTCACGGGGGCCCCGCCCAGCCCCCCCTTCCCCACGTGGCGGTCAAGCTGGAGCCCGCCAGCACCTTCGCCGTAGACTTCAATGAGCCCCTGGACTTTTCTCAGAAGGGCCTGGCCTTGGTCCAGGTGAAGCAGGAAAACGTGACCTCCTTTCTGAGCCCTTCTTCCTTGGTCCCCTATGACTGCTCCATGGAGCCCATTGACCTGTCCATCCCCAAGAACTTCAGGAAAGGAGACAAGGACGTGGCTGCTCCCAGTGAAGCCAAGAAGCTGGAGCAGGAGGTGGGGAGCAGTGAGCAGCTGTCCCCCTGCCCACCCTGCCCTACTCTGCCAGTGACCCTGGGGCCTAGCGGAATCCTGGAAAACCCCACAGCCACAGTGGTGGCTGCCACCCCAGCTGCAGCCCGGGAACCCCATGCTCAGCCCCTCCAGGGCTCTGTTCAGCTGGCGGTCCCCATCTACTCCTCAGCTCTCGTTAGCAACCCTCCCCTCTTGGGAAGCTCCGCCCTCTTAAGCAACTCGGCCCTCCTGAGCAGTTCAGCCTTGCTGCGGCCATTGCGGCCCAAACCCCCCCTGCTCTTGCCAAAGCCCCCAGTGACAGAAGAGCTGCCCCCACTGGCCTCCATTGCCCAGATCATCTCATCCGTGTCTTCGGCCCCCACTCTACTGAAAACCAAGGTGGCCGACCCAGGCCCTTCAAGCACCAGCAGTAACGCTGTAGCTGCAGACAACTTAGGAGGCACCATACCCAAAGCTGCTGCCACCCCCGCTGACACCACAGGCCCAAAAGAATCCAGCGACCCACCCCCTACAGTGAGCAGCCCAGAGGCAGCCTCACCCACTGAGCAGGGGCCAGCTGGCTCATCCAAGAAGAGGGGCCGGAAAAGGGGGATGAGGAGTCGGCCCCATGCCAACAGTGGTGGGGTGGACCTGGACTCGAGTGGGGAGTTTGCCAGCATTGAAAAGATGCTGGCCACCACGGACACCAACAAGTTCAGTCCATTTCTGCAGACTGCAGAGGACGACACTCAGGACGAGGTGGCTGGAGCCCCCTCTGACCACCATGGGCCCAGTGACGAAGAGCAGGGTAGCCTTCCGGAAGAAAAGCTGCTGAGGGCAAAGCGGAACTCCTATGCCAACTGCCTGCAGAAGATCAACTGTCCCCACTGTCCTCGGGTCTTCCCTTGGGCCAGCTCCCTCCAGAGGCACATGCTCACACACACTGGTAAGAGGGCCCACTGGACGCGCCAGGTGGTGAGGCCTACCTCCTAGCAGGGAGGCCAAGTGGGGAATCAAGGGATGGAGGTCAAAAGTGGAGGACCCTTTTCTCATGCTCCATTCATTCCTTGATTCTCCTGTTGGAAGCCACAGGCTTGCTGGGGGTCCGTGAGTTTCCCTGATATTCTTAGTAACCATAGTGACCTGTGCCCATGATCTGAACCCCTCTGAGGGCTTTCTGGTGAGAAGTGTCCAGTGCAGCGTGGTCATGTGCCCATTGGTCCCCTCACTTCCCTCCTCCCAGCCCTTCCCAAGAAGGTTTTGAGATAATTTGCTGGGTTAAGCAGGGGAGGTGGCTCCAGAGAAGTGGGACTTTGTATTAAGGTATTGGGGCATAATGAGCTCGGTGTTGTGACATCAGAAATTTCAGCCTGTCATCATCGGTGCAGCTTTTTAAATTTTGAACAATCTGAGTTCTTTTGGCCACGTATCTCTGTAAAGGGAAGTACTGCAAAAGGTGACACTGGCCATTTCCTCTCCGTTCACCAAGCTGGCTGTACCTTCCCCTGTCTATTTTGAAAATCAGTGGTGGATGGTGCTAGAATTTTTTGTTTCATTGATACTAAAATTGTCAACTGTCACAGGGAAACATCCCAAGTATGATTAATATTCTAAATAACAGTAAAATTAGCAAAGTTTTCAAATGATCACACAACTCTCAATTATAATTTTCCAGAAATTCTCGCAGGACTTACGTCATTGAACTAATAGTAAATTGAATGAGGTCCTTAACCTTTGGGGGTTCAAAACCCAAATATTAATAGGATCAAAGATCAACTGATATTGTATGTATGGTACAGGATTGCTGGATGAATTACAAGCTAGCAGTTAAATTTGAATTCCAGAACAACAACAAACGATGTTGAGGGTGTTTCCCTGCAGTATTTGGGATAGGTGAAAAATTATTTGTTGGTCTGAAGTTCACATTTTAACTGGGAGTCCTGTGTTTAGGAGGTTTCTAACAGTCTGGTGAGTGTAACTTCGTGGGAACTGGTGTGAACCATGCTCTCTGGCCAGGGGGAAACACCGCGTAGGGCTGGTGTACCACACGTGAGGTGGAGCAGCAGGAAAGAGTTCATAAAGCAGCCCTGCAAACCAGGAAAGTACGCAGAGGCTAGTGGGTGGGGGGGGGAGGAAGCCGAGGAGGCGTGACTGAAAGGATTGGAGTCTCTTGGAGGTGCCAATCTCCAGAGATTGCCACAGAGCTGCAGCATCTCTTCCTGGGATGCTAGGCCCTCGAATCCAGGAAGTTGCAGTGTCGTCCAGGGAGGGCTCCGTAGAACCGGAATTTCTAGATTCATAAAGTACACGCTGCCTTTTCAGTCCTCATTTTCTTTCCACTGAAATAGTTTAAGCCAAACAAACTGAGTAACAGTTCTCAGGAGGAAGCATTTCAGAGAAGTGCCCCCACACAGAAGTGTCTTCTGCTGCCCTTTTTTGGGTGACACCTCTTTTGTCGCCTGCAGAATCTTTGGAGAAGTGAGTATTTCTGTTACAGTTTTTCAAAGAGCAGATGGTCTGGAGCTGGTGGTCGGTTTGGTTCTGGCCCCTCCTCCCCTCTCTCCTCTGCCCCTGCCATCAAACAGCCTCCCATCATTTTCTGATGACAGTCCCATGCTCAATAGACACTGTGCACATTTTCCTTTAAATGTGTTGAGGCCATTTATCCCCAGACATTTCTATTCCCAGTAAACTGGCGATTTCCCTGAGAAGCTGGAGCAGCCAGAATTTCCTTTCAAGAGTTGTGCTGGAGTAGATGCCTGATACCCAGCCCCACTTGAGAATCCAGCACTGTGATTGCCTGGCTTTTGAATGCCAGAATGTCATCATTGGCTTAAAATTTGGTAGCATGTGAGCCAGGTGGAGTGGTGCATACTCATAATCCCAGCAACCTGGGAGGCTGAGGCAAGAGGATCACAAGTTTGAGCCAGCCTTGGGAACTTAATAGGACCCTGTCTTAAAATAAAAAGGCCGGGCACGGTGGCTTTCGCCTCTAGTCCCATCCACTCCAGAGGAGGTAGGAGGATGGGGAGTTCAAAGCCAGCCTCTGCAAAAGCCAGACCCTGTCTCTAAATAAAATACAAAATAAAGCTGGGGATGTGGCTCAATGGTCAACTGCCCGTGAGTTCAATCCCCGGTACCAAAAATAAATAAAATAAAAAGGACTGGAGACCTAGCTTAGTGGAATGTACTTGGTTCAGTTCCCAGTACAAAAATAAAATAAAATTTGGAAACATCTGAGCCTGAGCAAGGAAGATGTAAGACCTATTCGAGACCAGGTAGGATGGATGTAGATATAAACATTCTGCTACTTCTCCCTTCATAGTTGCCGATAACCTTAGTTAGAGGTGTCTCTTTGGGGCCATCTGACTGGATGTCAGAGAAGCCTCTGAGAGCTAGTGTTCATGACATGAGGAAGTCGAGGCTTAGGGAAGCTAAGTCACTCCCAGCAGTCCTGTGGGTGGTAAAGTATGGCCAGAGCGCCACACCAGAGCCACCGTTCCCTGCAGCCGCCCATGATCGCCATGGCCTGCTGGTGCCCTCATGGAGGCCCTCCTGTGCCAGCCTGTCTGCACATGCCTGCATGAAGAAGACTGGGAAGTGGTGTGAGACAGGGGAGAGCACTGCTGGGCATCAGAATGCTATGGATTAAAATCTCAGCGACTGCAGAATTGTGTTGTACACCATGTAAATATTGGTGCCCGCTGGCTTCCGCTCACTTCCTTTCCTTTCCTGTGCACCACTACTCACCGTCCAGGGATGGCCTCGGCATCACCTGACTAAATCACGCCATGTTGAGCACTCTGCTATGTCTGGTGCTGTGTGAGAACATTTCCCACTCATCGAGCATTAGACCTGGAAAAAGACGGGGGAATTGTCTTCCCACAGACCTGAAATTCCCCTGTTCGGCAGCTCTGCTGTCTATCAGAGTCACTTAGCTCCCTGGCTTCTTAGGCTCCCTCCAAAACTTGAAAACATGGCTTGAGGCATATACTTAAGACTCAGCAGCAACCCTGTAAACAAAGGAGGTAGACAGGGTTTGTAAGTGTAGTATTAAAGCTGACAGTCTTTATTCTGAGAATGGTGTTCTAATAGGGGGTCCACCTGCCAGCTGCCTGCACTGTCACAGCGCTGCGGCTCCGCCTCTCCCCGTTCAGGCTCCAGGAACTGCTTCTGAGGAGGAAGCTGGCATCTTCCATGTCCCTGCCTTGTTCTCCACACACACCTGCCCTCTTCCTCCTGTCCCTCTCTGGCTTTCTCCCAGCCCAGAGCTTCCTGCTGATGGGGACAGTTCCTGATTCCTTAACCTTTCTCTCCCTGAACTCACCACCTCCTCAGAGAACAACACTGCCCCTGGTGAGCATCTCATCCTGTGCCTTCAAGCAGCTGGTGGAGGACTGTGCCAGGAAACACAGCCAGTCCCTCTTGTCTCTGCCCTCGGTTTCTTCCTCCTTCCCTTTGCTCTGGTTCCTCATCGCCCAGGGACAGGCTTGGGACCGGGTGATGTCCAAGTTCCCTCCAGCTCTCGACACTGAGATTGTCTGGCTTGCTCGCCTTGTCACTGGTGCTTCAAGCTCCTTTTCCTGGCCACCTCAGGGCTCTTCCCACCCGAGACCCTCCTCCCCACTATCGGGCAGCCAGCATCAGAGTTCAGATGAATAAGATGTCCTCACTCGAGTGCGGAAGGCACCCTGAACACCAGATGTCCTTGACCAGGTGTCCTTACCTTTAATCCAGTCCTGAGGGTTGAACCGAGGCGTGCTCTACCACCAAGGGCCACATCCCCTGCCCTTTTTATTTTTATTTTATTTTACACCTCTGCCAAATGTAGAGGAAAAAATACCAAAAGGAAGACACCTTCGCCTCGAGGGTAGAGGAGTTGCGGCAGGAACCAGGGGCCTCGAGCTGTGTTGTCTTGTTACAGAAATAAAGGCAGCTGCAAGGTTTGCCATCCAGGTCCCAACCTCCCCTCCGAACCCTGATTTCCTTTGAGAAGTGAACAGAAATATTTCCAGATCTGTGTTCTTGGTCCTGATAGCCAAGGTCCTGATCTCCTTGGCAAACTCGCTCTCCCTGTTCATTCTTGCCCCAGTGCCTTCCAGAGAAGACCATTCCACGCAACGTGTCTCTTCCTTTCTGAGCTGGTCTATGCAGAGGATGACTGGCTTGGGGTTGGGGTTGGGGGCGAGGGATGACCCTTGGGTACCAGGGGGATTCACTGTCGTTACAGATGTTCTTACACCCCTTCTAAAGTAGTAACGAGGGGCAGTTACCACATTAATCAAATCATGTGAAACTTTCCACTGTAGGTGACCAGCCAAAAGGGTTTTTAAAACCTGTCTTAAAATACTAAAAGGGCTCAATATTTCTGCTATCCATAGAGACCACTGCTATTTAAAATAGAAGGACATTTGCAATGAAATGAAATGTGAGGTGTTTCTGTTTGTTTTGTTTTGTTTTGTTTTTTTGCTTGTGTTTTGTTTTCTGGTCCTGAGGATTGAACCTACGAGTGTTCTACCACCAAGCTACATTCCCAGACCTTTTTATTTGTATTTTAAGAAAGGGTCTCGTGAAATTGAAAGGCTGGCCTCAAACTTGTGATCCTCCTACTTCAGCCTCCCAAGCTGGGGTTACAGGTGTGCACCACTGTACTTGACTCCATACTGCCTTTTGACAATAAAATGTTAAAGGAGCAGTATTTTATTCCTACTTGAAATCCTTAAATATTATATTCAATTCTTAATGAATAGCAAGAAATAAGTTAGAAGGTGCACCAGTACTTTACAACTAGTTGCACAAAAGCATGATTTTTTAAAAAAAATAATGTGGGTTTTTTTTTAAATATACATTTAGCAAAAAACACTTGCAAAAAGAGGGGCTCTTCTGAGCAATTGATGGGTTCTCCACTATTTTGTGTGGCTCCCCAAAAGTATACGTACCATATCCTGGATTTCTGATTCAGCCCTTCCTGGGTTTCCATAGGGACTTGCACGTCTTAGGCAGGGCTCCACCACGGAGCTACACCCCGAGCCTGACTGTGTTCATAACCAGCTCCAAAGGAGATTGGGAAGCATCGTCTTAAAGTCTTTGAGCTCAGAAAGGAATAAATGTCTTGGATTACTCCTGGCACACAAGTTTGGCCACACTGCTGCTTCAGTCTTGCTGGCCACATGTCTTCATGCCCTGGGAACAGCGCCACCTGGAGTTGTGCAGCCTGGCAGTGCCAGTGGTGCTGCTCCTTCCTTGTCCTGGGAAACCTGCAGCCCCTCCGCTCACCCCAGGCGCCAGGCCTTACTGAGCACTCCAGCAAGCCCCTGACCCTGAGCACTGCCCCAGCCCAGGCTCAGTGGACATTACAACACTAATCTAAACCGAAGGCCAAAGGTCTGTGATTTGTGTCTCCAGGGAGCTGTGCTAGCGGCTCTTCCTGCAGACCTGGACGCTTGTGTTTGGCCCTGGCCGTCCCAAGGTTCAGTATCTAACATCTTTTCCACTGTGAGGTTGGACACTAGGATCTACAGTGTGTGACTGGGGGAGAAAGAAGAAATTAGCGACGTAGCAAAGGATGAACCTCCATTTGTTCTCTCCTGAAGCCTGCCTCGTCCACCTCATCCTTCCCCTTTCTCCTCCTTCATCATTCTCCTCCTCCTCCTCCTCCTCCTGTCCCACCCCTTCTTTCTCAGTCTCCCCCCACACCCGTTTCTCTCCCTATTGGACTTCTCATTCCTCTCCATCCTTCCCTCCTCCTCTGTCCTTTTCCCTCCCCTCTAACTCCCTCCCTCCTCCTCTTTCTCTGTCCTTCCTCCCCCTCTTCCTGTCCCCCTTTCTCCTCTCTTCCTCCCCTTTCTCACCCCTACCTCCACCAGCCCTTGCCCTCCCATTCATCCACACAAACATGGGATGGTATCAGAGGAGCTTCACTTGCATTTTGCAAGTGGTATTTACAGTACAAAAGGAATCCAAATAAAAGGAAAGGATGGGCCCACCAAAGCAGAGACTCCCCTGGGGAGGGAAGGAGGGCCTCTCCTCTCAGCCATTTGCCCATTTGTAGAGCTGGGACTTGGGAGGGGGGGTCCTCTGCTGAGCATCTATGGAGTGAGCAGACTTGCTTATGTGTTGGTCACTCACGTATTTCCAAGCCAGAGTTCAGACCAGGGGGAGCAAAGAATCTTTAATGGGACAAGAAGACACAGGCTCTGCCCGTGAGGACCACAGTGACCTTGGGCAGAAGTCACCGCAGTACGTCCCAACAAGTCGCACAGGTGGGGTCCTAGGAAGATGCACTGCTCCTGCCCCCCATGGGAAGCCACAGCCACCTGTGGCTAGAATGGGGATCTGCTGCGTGAAGGGGGCACTCCCTGACTTCTCCCATGGGCCCCTGAGGTGACCCAGGGATTCAGGAACCCTCCGGGAGGCACGAGCCTGTCTCCTCGTCCCCTTGGGGTCCCCAGCATCTGTATTATTTGCCAAGCTAGAAATCACTGTGTTTTCTTTGTGGTTTAATACAGGTGTTGTCTTACCAGGGTCTGAAATCCCTTCCTTCTTATTTTTTGTTGTCATTATTTAATTTTAATGCTGATGCCATCACTTTATTTAAACGTATATATCTTGGTTTCACTGTTGAATTTCTTTTAGTATTTTGAAGACAAAAGCTCATTCCAATTCACTCAGATGAGGGAAATTTATCATTATAGTCTTTGGTATTTCTCAGTGTTTTGTTTTGTTTTTAATGAATTTTGTTTATTAAAAGGAAGGGGTGGAGGGTGGGGGAGAGCAAATGCCAGTAATCCCAAGAGAATAAATCAAAAGCGATTTTTCTTTTTCATTGCATTAGAAAGCCAGATAAATATATATTTTTTTTCCTGCTTCAGGTCAGAAACCCTTCCCTTGTCAAAAATGCGATGCCTTCTTTTCTACCAAATCTAACTGTGAACGCCACCAGTTGCGCAAACACGGAGTTACCACCTGTTCCCTGAGAAGAAACGGGCTTATCCCCCCAAAAGAGAGTGATGTTGGATCCCATGATAGCACAGGTAGTGCCTCCAGGTGATGGAGAACCAGAGAGGAGGAGAGCGGAGGGCGCTGCTCCGGGCTCCGCCAACAGCCGCAGCCAGCTCAGGGCGTGCTGAGGACTGGGAGCGCGGCTCCTGGGTCAGAGGGGCCTAGACTACGAGACGACGGAGCCAGGAGCCCAGGGAATTCGGGAACCAATGGCAGTGCCCCTAGGTGACGTGTGGAAGTGGCTAGGGAAGATGGACACCCTCCTAGCAGAAGGTGGCCTTTGTTCCTAGTGCTGGGCGGTGGGATCTGTGGGAGGTGTACAGTTTTTGTAGCTCTGGGTATGAACACCTCTAAAAGGAATGTGAAACCTTAAAGGTTTGGGGAGCCCCAGCCTCCGCAGCATCCTGGAGCAGGGAGGGGCTTACTGGGACATCCGTGTATTATTATAGGAACTGGGGGTGCTGAGCCCTTCCAGGGTGGGGCGAGGTGGGGTGTTTTTCTTTTCAGTAACTCTCTTCCAGTAGAAGACTGTCCTTGTTTGAGAAGCACTCTGCATGTCTTTTCTTTAATCACGTCTCTGCCTGACCTGAACCCGGTGTGACTCTCTGTGCTGACGTGTGCTCCTCCCCCAGACCCTACAGAGCAATTAACAGCTGCCCACTCAGCTTCCGCCACCCTTCTCCCTCGGCTTCTGTATTTACCCACGTCCTCTGTTCAATGCCCTCCATCGTCCCAGGCTGCTGGGACACACCACCCCCAGAACAAACGACAATAGGCTACTGCAGGTCACCACGACTTACAAAAGGAACAGTGAGGGTGGTGTGAATACCGGATTCGGTTCTGCAGACCTTCAGTGCTTGCCATCTCCAGATCTCCCACTGCTTGAAGCCAAGCCAAGGTGGTTCCCCCAGCTCTGTTTTTCTGGAGTTTAATTGTGCCCGTGGTGTGGCATAGGAGGCAGCCCACACTATTAGTCCTTCCCTCGGGGTCAGAGGGAATGGGGCACAGTGGAGTGAGTGTGTACCATTTCCAGATGGAGAGCTGATCCCACTGGGGGGAACCGGCCCTGCCTTCCACATACCTCCCACCAAGCCTGAGAGAGATGCCAAGCGCCCTTGACCTGCCCAGCCCTTCCTCCAGTTCAGACCCCGACGGGTAGCCAAGTGCTGGTTTTGCTGACTCCATTCCCACACAGTTTACCGAGTAAAGAAAGCTATGATGCCCACAGCACCCTGCCCCTGGAAGAGCCCTGTGAGCCAAGGATGGTCTACTTGCTGCCCAAGTGGCAGGAGGCCCGCCAGGCTGCCCACAGAGCTTTCCTGCAGACCTTCCTGTTAATGTTTAACCCTCGGCTGCCAGGGCACCTGTTGGTCCAGAACGCTTTCTGGCAGCCTGGTTTACAAAGCAGCATGTGATCCTTTCCACACCAGTTCCGAAGGAGGGAAGACAGCTGGTGAAGGGGCGGGGGCTGGGTCCCCGTGTTTTACCAACAAGTCTTAGAGTCCTCACCGTAGAGTCCTCACCGTGTGCCGCGTGCTCACTTTGCACCCAGCGTCCCTCCCATACGGAAGGAAAACCCTGGGATGCTGCTGACCCCGGGGGTGGCTGTGGATCCCCAGATACAAAGCTGAATCAAGATGTACACTCTGAGCTTTGCTTCAACACCAAACGTTGGCCTCTGGGTGCATTTGGCTTCAAGTTTACAGTGACAAGTTTTGTTTTTTCAAGGCCCTGCCCCAGAAGTTGTGTAGATTTTCTGTAAAGGGACAAAACTTCTGGGAAACAAAAAGTCACTGAATGTTGTAATGTGAAACCAGCCGAGAGAAGTTATAGGTCTGGTTTAATTATGGTCACATTTCATGGTGAGAAGAAACTGAGATTCAGGAGGGAAAGAAAGCAGGTCAGGGAGGCACACAATCCTGGGACTTCAAGGAGAGATTTACAAACAGGTGGGCATGATGCAGGTTTGGGGGGCTCCCTCCGGGGCAGTTAAAAGTGAGACTTTTGAGAAACAGACTATTTTTTAAAGTCAGGGAATTACCCAGGAAGTTCTCAAGGTTTCTAAGTTTATACGCCTAGACTGCATTTTCTTAAAATCTCTAATATTTTCTAATGTCCATGTGACTTTTTCAGTCCCATAAGATTTTTCGTGAAAATGCACCTCAGATATTTTCCCCAAAATGGTGCTAAAAATGCTGTAGTGGGGGAGCGGCTCTCCTTTCAGAGGGCTGCATTGAATTTTAAACTGAAACTGCACTCTGCTGGGCAGAGGTGCCTGGCCCCCTTTGCCCTTGAAGGATGCCCTCCTGGGTTCTCCTTGGACGCTGTCTAGAAGAGCCATGGTAAAGGCAGCTGGGTAGGACTATAAACATGAACGTTTTTAAACTTTTCCCTTAGTGGTGGTACGTATGCCAACCCCAAAATCCCATGTGTCCCTGTGGACTGGACCGCAGCGTTGATCCCAGTCATCAGGCGAAGCGCAGACAGAACAGCTCTACCCATCAGATTAATTATTTAGATGATCATGTCTGCCTCGTCAGGTAGCGTTTCATTTCCAGGAGCAGGAGATCCTTAACTGGAGCACCTAGGAAGATGTGTGCTGTCCCGCAAGGGGAGCTGTGGGTTCCTTACCTATCAGAATTTCTTCAGCTTTTTCCCATTGCCCCCCCCCCCCCATAGAAAAGAGGGACGGATGGGTGGCAGAAAATCAGTGCTTGCTTTTAAAGTAGCATTGCTTATACAAAGCCATCAGCTTGCTACCTGTATTTGGCAATGTGAGTGTTGAAGAGGGTCAAAATAGGACCTGGCCTTTCAAGGTGGATATTAGTGGTATGTGAACAGGTTAAGTCTGTTGTTCCCAAGAATCAAAAGTTGTTTGGAACTTGAGGGGCTAAAACACTCCCCCTAGCGGAAGTTTGGTGGAAGACAGCCACACCTCCTTTGTTCACAGAGGAAGTGAGCAGAGTTCTTCCATTATCCACCCTAAGGAAGGACCTGGGAGTGGAATGGTGTGGTCTTAGTGTTTCAGAATTCATTTTGATTTTTTTCTGGGTCTATCTTCTGAAATAAGTTCTGTGCAGTTCATTCTTGCGCAGGATGTGGTGTGGGCCCAGCCGCTCAGGAGGCTGAGGTTGAGGATTCTTTGAGCCCACAATTAAAGATCAGCCTAGGCAACATAGCGAGGAGCAAGACCCTTTCTTTTCTTTTTTTTTGTTTTGTTTTAGATGGATACAACATCTTTATTTTATGTGATGCCAAGGATTCAACCTAGTGCCTCACACATGCTAGGCAAGCGCTCTACCACTGAGCCACAACCCCAGCCCCACAAGACCCTTTCTTTAATTTTTTTTTTTTTTACTGAAAAAAAAATAAGAGAAATAGTGTAGGATATACTGGAGCAAAGTGGAAGTAACTAGAGATCAAACCTTTTTAAACAGATTACCCACAAAGCCAACAAATAAGTTAAGCACGCTGCATTTTTGTTGTTGAGTTTATCCAAAATCCATTCTGGAGATGCTCTCTATTCAAATATTTCCAGAAAATGAGCATCTGAATTTTCCTTGAAATGTGCCCTAACGTTGGTGTGCATCTCTCAGAAGTCCTAGTTCTGGTCAAATAAAAACATGAATCATGTTCCCCTCTGACATGTCTTGATACCCAACAGCGGTCGGAGTAAAACCAAGGCAGTCTCGTGGGTAGAATGTCACAGAGATGTTTGCAGGTGAGCCCCAAACTCCAGGGGTGTGAAGAGCAGGTATCATCTCTGAGGATATTGGGAGAGGCAATACCAGCTCCTTATCCCAGCCCCAGGACCACCTTGATGGCAGGTAATGGGACATGTGACATTGAAGAGGAGTGAAGGGCCTGGGGTAACATTGTGGGGTGGCTGGCCCCAGCAAGCAAGAATCAGGTTAGGTGTGTGAATCTTTGCTCAGTTCAAGCACTGTGGTCGGAGACGGGCGTGTTGAGGGCGTGAACCTCCCATGTGCTGGGAACAGCGGGTTCCGTCTGTCTGACTCCAAGGCGCCTCTGAGTGCTTACAGTGAAGAACTGGACATGAATCTACACCTGACCAGTAGGCCCTGCCGGCTTCTGCCTCACTGTCACAGCACATACTTAGAGTCCTTAAGTCCTCATTCAGTTCTGACCTGCTTGGCGTCACTACAGTTGCCACAGTGCTCTCTCTTCAGAAGGTCATTAAAAGCCAGTGGACTTTCCCCGTCTAGTTTTGCTGTGGAGAGAGGACAAATGGGAACAAGCAAGAGGCAGGAAGTGTGAGATGCCTGCCACCCACAAGTCCCTGTCCCCACTCGTACGCCCCCCTCCACAGCCCCTCAGGGTCTCCTGCCTTCCTCAGTTGCTCTCCTGGCATAAAGGTGGTCCTCCCCTGTGGAATGTTTCTCCACCCTCCGGTGCTGCAGGTGTGCATGTCTCCTTTTGCCTCTGACCTCTACCTAGAGATGAGCTGGCAGGCGAGAGGGTGTGCGCTATAAACACAGAATTCACGCTCAGGGTCGTTCTCTATGGGACTCATCAGAGACCACGTTTGAGAGGATTGGGAGGGTGGTCCTGTGTGTGATGCATGTTCATATAATTTCTTTGCACGGGAAAGGTAACTTACAACTTGGCTTTCTCAACTTCCCTAGTGCCACCAGTCTCTGGAATGCACCCTCTCCTATCTTGCAGCCCTTTGTCTACACTGCCTGAGTCACTCACCTTCCTGGGGCGGGGCAGTGGAGGCCAGGAGGTCCAGGCACAGCCAGCCCTGGGAACCTCCTGCAGGGATGTGGAGGCTGGTTTGCCCTCCTTAAGTCTCCAGGTTGATGTTGGCCCTCATGAGGGATGTCAGGGGTGACGAGGATCGGGGATGAGAAATCCTCACTGAGCTTGGGGCCCAGGTCACCAGGGTGGATCCAACCAAGTCCCAGTAGAGCCCTTCAAAGGCACATGCTTTGTGCATCCCATCTGAACCCCTTCCCTGCTGTGCTTGCTCACACAGACAGCCAGTCAGACTCGGAAACACTGGCGGTGGCAGGTGAGGTGCTGGACCTCACCGCTCGGGACAAGGAGCGGCTGCCATCAGAGGGAGCCGTGGAGCTCAGCCAGGCTGCAGCGGATCCTCCTGTGGAGGAGGCCAAGGCAGAGGCAGCCTCCCCTGGGAAGGGGCAAGAGAAAGGGGCAGAGGAGAAGCAGGAGCTGGAGGAAGAGTGTGGCATGGAGGTGAGCGCTGGGGAGGCCCACGGGCCGGAGGAAGACACGGCCAGCAACAAGAGCCTGGACCTCGACTTGGCCAGCAAGCTGATGGACTTCAAGCTGCAGGGTGAGGCAGGCCCCGTGGGCAGCCAGGGCTCTGCCCAGCAGGACCAGAAGCACGCCTGTGACACCTGCGGGAAGAGCTTCAAGTTCCTGGGCACCCTGAGCCGCCACCGGAAGGCTCACGGCCACCAGGAGCCCGAGGAGGAGGAGGAGACGCAGCCTTCGGAGGGAGAGGGTGCTGGCGGAGCGGCCGAGAGGCCGCCGTCTGTCCCTGCCTCTGAGCCTGAAGAGAAGCCCACTGAACCCCCTGAAGTGGAGCCGGCCCCAGGCGCCAGGGAGGCCTCCGAGGAGAAGCAGAACGAGGAGACAGAGGGCCCCTCTGACGGGGAGGGCACAGCCGAGAAGAGGTCCTCAGAGAAAAGCGACGATGACAAGAAACCAAAGACGGACTCCCCCAGGAGCGCGGCCAGCAAGGCGGACAAGAGGAAGAAGGTCTGCAGCGTGTGCAGCAAGCGCTTCTGGTCCCTGCAGGACCTCACCAGGCACATGAGGTCCCACACAGGTGAGGAGGGCCCGGGCCACCAAGGGGAGGCCAGGGGGACCCACCTCGGTCCCAGAGCAGTGACGGAGTCAGAGCCCCAGGCCACTGGGAGAGTGTAGGAGAGTGAGGTGACCTGGGCAGGGCCATCCGTCCTTCCCTCCCAGAGAAACCCTGCCAGGCCCTGTTGGTCTCCCCTTTCCTCCCTTCCCAGCTGCGGCCCATGGGCCTCCGCACCCAGCCAGCCTCCGCACAGTCCACTGGGCCCTGTGCTCGTGGCCAAGAGCCCCGGGCCTGGCTCTCAGCAGGGCCATGTTCTTGGGCTGCTGACAGGTGCTGTTCTCAGCTATTGGCCGCTGGGTCTCTGAGCCTTTGGGAAATTCCACCTTGGAACACAGAGATCTGTGCTTTGACTTAGGAGGAGCTGCTGTCCCCGTGGGCCCCGGAGAGGACCATCCTGGCCTTCCACGAGATGCTTTTCTCTGGGCCAGGTCAGACTGCATATCCGAGGCTTCTGCTTCTAGGATCTTGGTTTCGGGATCAGTTGTAGAACTCCTGGGCTGAGGAAAGGGGAGGGGATGCGGCCCTGGAACTCCTGTGTCCCCTGCGCCAAACAGGAGGGCTGGCCCCGAGTGGGGGAGTCCTGGCCCTGGGTGCGCTGTCCTGACTGCCATCGGGGAGGCAGGGTCAGTGGCCTTGGGCTAACAGACGGATTTCTTCTCCCTTCTCAGGGGAAAGGCCCTACAAGTGTCAGACCTGCGAGCGGACCTTCACCCTCAAGCACAGCCTGGTCCGGCACCAGCGGATCCACCAGAAAGCCCGGCACGGCAGGCACCACGGCAAGGGCAGTGACAAGGAAGAGCGGCCCGAGGAGGACAGCGAGGACGAGTCCACCCATAGCGGCAACAACCCAGTCTCAGAGAATGAGGCCGAGTCGGCTCCCAGCACCAGCAACCACGTCGCCGTCACCCGGAGCCGCAAAGAGAGCTTGGCCAGCGCCGGGAAGGACTGCGGCCACCGGGAGGAGAAGGGGCGGGCGGCCCCCAAGGAGCAGGCGCCGGGCGACCCCGACCCCGAGGGCCCAGAAACCCTGGTGCAAGACCTGCTGGAGCTGTGCAGCAAGAGGCCTGCCCACCCCGCGCTGGCCCCGGCCGAGGCCACCTCCCAGCTGCTGGGGATGGAGTGACATCCCGCCTCGCCCTTGCACAGACAAGCCAGCGGAGCACAGCGTCTCAGAGCTGCATTTCAGGAGATTTCGTCATGGTCCTTCCTTCGGCTGTCGGGAGGAGCCAGCAGGAGGGCAGGAGGAGCCGAGCGGGCCACCGGCCCTGTGCCATAGCCTTGCGGGCGCCTTGCAGGCCGCAGTACGTGCCGATTCCAGTGCCTTAACTACTTACGGAGCCTCCGTGTCACCATGGGGGTTGTGTTTGCCCAAAACGACTTTAACAAGACAGATATTTTAAAGAATTGTCTGGGGAGGACCTCTTCATTTAAGCATTAATGTTACCCTTAGTACCGATGTGTGTGAGCTTGTTTCTGTGAATCCGTGACAGTCCTGTTTGTTCTGTGAGCTGGAACAGGAGGGAAAAAATGCCCTGGGATCCCCGTAGCCAATAACTGGAAGAAAATGATGTGAATTTCGTAATTTCATGTAAATGACCAGAGGGAAGATGGATGTGATGTGATTTCTCAAAGACCTTCCTCTTTCTTTCTTTTTCCCTGTTTGCTCCACAGTGGAGCTGATCTGGTCCTTGTTATTAGGAAATGTGGTCGATGAAGGTTTCCAAGGCGGCTCAAGCCAAAATCAGGAAAGATCTCTAGCTTCAACCTCATATTTGTTTCTACTCTTTCCACCTTAGAAATAGTTACTATTTCAAGTTCCAAGACATCCATTCTTAATCTACAGAGAAGAGTTACCTCCCCAACAACTTAACCTATGGAAAACGTACCTGGATGTTGTCTATTTGATTTTCCCCCTTCCCATTAGGTATATGTTATTATTATTATTAATATTAATATTATTGTTATTGTTAGTTCATCAGTTTGCTGGGCTCTGCAGTCAGCAGAAACAAATGGGCAATATTTGTCCTTGGAGACCTGCGTGACCACCCCCAGGTCCCCACAGAACCTGCCCCTGCGGGTTCCTGGGCACGCTCCGGTGACAGCTCTCTACTGTATTCAGACAGGCCTTTCTTCCGCAGCTGCAGACTCCAGCAGGGGCCGGGCCCCCGGAACACAGCTGAGGAAGGCTCGGATCGGGGAGAGCAAGGCTGCATGTGCGGCAGGGAACAGGCATCCAAGACGCCAGGTCAGGCCCGGGGGTGCCACAGGGGTGGTTTTTGAGGAAGCCAGGTGGTGACAGTCCTGTCACTTGTGAGCAAGGTATCCCAGTCTTCCTGCTAAGCCCAGTCCAAGCCTTGCCCCCGGCTGTGCTACTGTCATTGAAAAGTGAGGAAATACTACTACTGGTAATAAAACTACATGCAAGGGTTAAGAGGAGAGATTTCTATTTACCTTCCTGCGACGTGGGGTTGGTGCTTAAAGACCAATGTGGTGTCACTAGTTCCTTAAGAGGCCCGAACCGCTGGGTGCAAAAAGGTAGGATTCCTTTTATTCGTGAGCATTCTGTGCAGACAACAGACTTCCCTCGCTGCAGCGAAAACGATAGGTCCTATAGCGCTGACCTTGTGTCCAGCATCCTGCCCTTGAGTCGAGCCCCTAAGGACACCCGAGCCATACTGCTGCGGGGGCCCCTGCTTGCTGCACCCTGTGGAGCCTCTGGCCTTTCCCTGGGGAGGTGCCCCTCCACTGGGCCTCTCCCCACTGGCCCCTTGTGGCTCCACAGACTCTTCCTTGGCTTAAACCTTGCACAGAGACACATGCCCTTTTGTTTCCATTTCAGTTTCCTGTAGCTAAAACCCAACCACCCTGACATCAAAGGAAGGTGGATAGTCTTGAAAAAATAAAAAGTGATATCTTTGCATGTGAAAGGAAAATCGATGAGGTATATATGATTTTTAACTGTATTGGGATATATGAACCAGTTTAAAAGTGCGGTTTTATTTACTGTAGAGATGAATGCAGATCAGAACCAATGATCCCTTGGCCTTCTAAGTTGAAACCAGTTCATGCATCCCTTAGTTGTTCTTTTTTTATTATTATTATCACAATTGTTATTGTTATTTCTGTCGTTATTATTATTTGGGGTTCCTTGTGTTTTGTTTTTCTTTGCAACTCTCCACACTAAACTCGCAATATTGTGGGGAGAAGCCATGACTAAACTCTACGCTGCGGTGAGATGTAGCAGGGGTCAGCCCCCCGCCACGCAGGTCGCCGGGGCTGCAGCTCGCAATAATCACTATTGATCTAAAGCTTTATTTAGCCTTGATCCGTACCCTCGTAGTCGATAAGGTCTTGCCACGTTTTATTAGTGAGTTTGACAAGTGTATTATTTGTTTGTTGTTCTGCCCCCTTTCCCCTATATTAAACTGTGAAATTTGTGATTTGTTTAAACGCTGGGTGAATCATAGCTTAGTTTGCATGTCCAGCTAATTTGTTTCTATACATTTTGTTTGATTCTCTTTCTCCTTCTCTCAGGGCTTTTGCATATATATATATATATATATATATATATATATATATATATATATATATATATGGATCTTCTGAAAAGTTTTTTGAGGTGCAAGTTTTTTTTTTTTCTTTCTCTGTGATCAATGGACACAATGCTGAGATTCAATCACTACATGAAACACCTGGCTGCGTGAACAAAAGAAACAAAGACCCCCAGGGCTGTCTTCCACGCGGCTCTGGGGAAGCTACGTGGCAGCCGGATGCCAGTTTCAGACAGATTCATCATACGTTCGTCTCTTTCCTCTCCTCTCTTTCTTCAAGAAGGAATTTGATCCTAGTGATTTCAGCCCATGCATTAAACAGGAAACAATAATAAATGTGTAGATTTCATATTTTTCTAAAGGGAACTTAAAAAACTGCTGCTACATGTTATGTACAAAACTGGTTTATGCCACATGAACAGAGAATCACAAGTTTGGTTTTGGTACTTTTTGTTCCTCTTTGTACTCAGTTGTATAGAACTTCCAAATTCAGAATGAAAAGAAAGCTGTTCTGTATCAAACCATCTAAGCAATAAATGTTATATTTTAAAGACGGCAGTTTGCCCGTCCCGCTGTCCTGTGATTCGCTCTAATCCTGTCCCCAAACCTACCGCCTGCCCACGTGGGCCATCTGCGGGAAGCCTTGTGCCACAGGAGCATCTTTTTGAAAAGCCACTTGGCCGAAGCTGTGGGCACTGCCTGGAGAGAGAGTGGACAGGTGGTAAGTCCGCAGTGACGGCGAGAGCTGGGGGGACCTTGCAACCGCTTTCCACCGTCGGTTATCCACAGCTGAGCCAGCCGTCCGTCTGCTGCACCTCGATAACTTTTCCTCTCCCCCAACCCAGCTGCACGGGATGGAGTCCACACCCGATGGAAGGAGAGCTCTGGGAGCTCAGCGGGTTTTAGCCAAGGAAGGGGACAGTGACTCCAGGGCTGGTCAAAGCCCACATGGTGGGGCATGTGTCACTGTAAAGTGGCAACAGGTGAAGTCCTGGACCTGCTACCTCTGGAGTGTTTCTTTAAAAGCAACCTCAGGGGGCGCTGTCAGGGGAGCTGACTGTAGGTGAGGCTACACACTCTGACCATCCTGTTGCGGTTTTTTGTTTTTGTTTCATTTATATTTTGGGGGTGGGGGTTGAACCCAGGGATGCTCTACCACCAAGCTACATTCTCAGCCTTGAATTTTGAGATAGGATCTCATTAAGTAGCCGAAGCTGGCCTCAAAGTTGCCATCCTCGCTCCTTAGCCTCCCATGTGGCTGGGATTAGATGGGAGAGTGTCCTGGACTTCTGCCAGGTCACAGCTAGTTGTAGCCCTGCGGTCCCAAGCCTTCCAGGCTCCTCTTTGGGCCACACACCCTTCCCCCACCAGGCCCTGACACCCACAGAACTCGGGGCCGGGGAGATCATGAACAAGCACGCACAGGGACAGCCCTCGGCTGAGATGGTAGCAGACATTTGCCCTGCTGTGAGCGTGAAGTCACTGTCCTGACAGAATTTGGGCTGCACACCTGGTCCCTGAAGACCAAGGGCTCTGTGGGGTGTGATAAACAAGGCACTGTAGCCCAAACCCCAGCCACCTGGGTGTGCAGAGAGAGCACAGTCCCCAGGGTCAGGGTGACCCTGCGAAGAGGCATTTAGGAATGAAAAGACCGAACATATCTACAGTTCTGCCTGTTACCTGAAAATGAGCCTGGTATTGATGCTGAGCAAATGTCCTTGTTGTTTCTGGTCGGGAGGAGTCCAGGCTAATTCCAGGCTGAGCTTGGTGGCGCATGTCTGTAATCCCAGCAGTGTGAGAGACCGAGGCAGGAGGATGGCAAGTTCAAAGCCAGCCTTAGCAACTTAGCAAGGCCCTAAGCAACTCAGTGAGACCCTGTCTCTAAATAAAATACAAAAAGGGTTGGGGATGTGGCCAGGGGTCGAGTGCCCCTGGGTTCAAACCCCAGTACCAAAAAAGAAAGAAAAGGCTGGGGTCCCAATATCACCTTCAAAGAACCACTCCCCCCCCCGCCCCCCCCCCCCCCCCCCCCCCGTTGACCTAAAGAACTCCCGCTAGGCCGTACCTCTTAATCTTAAGGTTTCCTCCACCTACCAAGAGTGCCACAGGCTGGTGACCAAGCCTTTATTTAACACACACTTTGGGGGACATCATCCAAACCACTGCAGTGTTTTTGACCCACAGGTGACCACCAGCCACTCTGTACCTGTAGATTTATGTCCAAGCCTAGCCCTTCTGATGGGTCCCTGGTAGTTCAAACCAGAATCTTTGTGCACATCTTTGTGTTTGTGATAAAATGCACGTGACATAAAAATTTACCGTCTTAGCCTTTTTAATCGTACAGTTCGGTGGCAGACATCTCCACCATCCAAACCAGAACGTTCTCATTGCCGAAACTGAGGCTCTGCACCCACTGAACACTAATGCCCCACTTCCCTCGGCCCACCCACCCCTAACATCCCCATTCTGCTTCTGTCCCTGTGAAGAGGGCTCCTTCGGGGACCTCTCATGAGTGGAGAGAACATCACACGTGAAAGAGAACTTAACCTTCACAGAGGCCCCGGCTTGTGGCAGCTCAGGAATCTGTCCAGGTGGAGGGGACCCTGGGAAAGGATCCCACACTCAGGTCCCCTGCCTGAAGACAGCTAGCCGTCTGCCCCCCGCGGGCTCACAGGCAGATCCCAGCTCTGCCCCTGTCCTGGCCAACGGCCTTGTGAGTCCCCAGCCCTAAGACGGGGAAGCCACAGAGCCTGCCTGGCGGGACTGCAGGGTAAATTAGGTGAGTTAACAGGCAGGAGGCGTCATTAAAGCTTCTGTGACGTCTTGGCATGCATGGCTCCCATCCTTGTACAGACCCTCCCTGGGACACTTCACCCACCAGTGTTCAGGGGGAGCAGTCGGAGCAGGCGCTGGTGGGAGGTCCAGCCTCTGCCCTCTAAGACCTCTCAGGTTTCACTGCCTCCTCTGGCTCTATAGCCCAGTCACCTTCCCACTCAAAGCACTGCCCTCAGTGTCCCTCGGGGCTGCCTCAGGCCTTGATGCTTATCAGACATCCCCACTCTGCTCAGTCCCCCTTGAAGCCAGGCCTGTCACACACAGTCTCCTGGTGAGAGGAGCCACCCTGTAGACCTGGCACCAGGAGGAGGTTCACTGTTCTGGGTGGGATCTGGGGACCCACAGCACCCACATCCCCTGGGAGTGGGCTAAAAATGAGAACCTCAGGCACACACACACACACACACACACACACGTGCTGAGTCAGCATCCACGACTTAACAAAAAGCTCCAGGGATTCGTGAGCACATTAAAATTTGGGAAGCTCTGGTCTAGAGCCCAAAATAGTTCAGAAGATGAACCCAGAAGAAAACTGCAGACAACTCTTAAAGAGACACTCCATCTGTGTCAGTCAGCATCCTGTTACTGTAACAAAACTCCTGAGAAAAGAAAACGACTTATAAAGAGAAAAGGTTTATTTTTGCTCACAGTTTCAGAGGTTTTAGTCCACGGTCAATTGGTCCATGGGTTGTGGGGCCTGTGACGGCACATCATGGAAGTCACGTGTGGTGAGGAAGTTCTCATGGCATGGCAGCTAGGAAACAAAAGAGTCCAGGGTCCCAGTAGCTCCTTCAAAGGCACGCCTCCAATGACCTAACTTCCTTCCACTAGGCCCCGCCTCTAAGGGCCTCACCATCTCCCAGTAGCACCTCAGACCACACTTGCAAACCTTGGGCCTTTGGGAGACATTCCTGATCCAAGTGCAGCCCCGTCTCAGGAGGAGGAGCACGGAACCCTGAGCCCTCCACCGACCCCACCTCAGCCCCTGGCAGAGGCAGCCACATCCCACGAGTCACCCAGAGGTCCTGTCTGTGGTTCCTGCCGTTTTGCCATGTTTATGGACTCCAGCGGCTCCTCCGAAGGGGCCAACCAGCCAGAGGGCCTCCAGCTGGCTCTAGGCCGAAGCTGCCCTCTGGCCTCAGCCTGGTGCAGAGCCGCAGGCCCCGGGCGGCTCAGCCCTTTCTCTTTCCATTACCAACACCCCAGGGAGGCCGGGAACCAGGGAGGGGGACGGGTTTATTTTAAACTTATAATTGAAGGCTGCTCGTTAGCAACAACAACACAGTCCCTCCAAGTCTAGGCCGCCAAGCCCACGTCCTAAATAAGGAACAAGTGGTCACTCCTTTCCCGTCTTACTTTAAGGGAAGGAAGCCGCAGCCAAACGTGGAAGTGATAGGCTGGCCCCGGGGGGCTGCCCGGCCTCGCCTGCTCTCAGGGCAGGAATTAGTGGGCACAGTGGCGTCTGCTTCCCAGGCCAGGAGGCCAGCCAGGGCTGCAGGCTCACCGGCCCTGCCTCCCCGCGGGACTAGCATGGCTCTTTTTTGGGGGGGAGGAGTACTAAGGACTGGACCCTGGGGTGCTAAGGACTGGATACTGAGTACATACCCAGCTCTTTTTTCTTATTTTTAATTTTGAGGAAGGGTCTCACCAAGTTGCCCATTCTGGTCTGGACCTTGCAATCCTCCTGCCTCAACCTCCTGGGTCACTGGGATTACAGGAAGTCCCACTGAGCGCGGCCCTAACAGCTCTTCTATGGGGCTTCTACATTAAAGTAAGGCTGCTCAGTGGGGGAAATTTAGAAGTGGTAGAAAAATGTAAAGGGAGGTTTTTGTGTCTTGTCTTCACCCAAGCCCAGTGAGGTGAGACCATAAAGTTCCAGCTGGGTATGGTGGTGCACGCTTGTAATCCCAGCAACTCCGGAGGCTGAGGCAAGAGGATCACAAGTTGGAGGCCAGCCTCAGCAACTTAGCGAGGCCTTGAATAACTTAGTGAGACCCTGTCTCACAATAAAAAAGGCTGAGGATGTGGCTCAGAGGTAGAGCACCTCTGGATTCAATCCCTGGTACCAAAACAACAACAACAAAAAAGGTCTTAGTCCTCCCTCAGAGAAGAGATAAGGGTTCAAATGCCTTGCCCAGGTCAGCCAGCTAGTAACTGGCCCTCTTCAGATGAAACTGCCCACCAGCAAATCGTAAAACAGAAGGTCCCCAGCATGGATGCTGTGGGGTGTCCGAAGTGGGGGTTTTGTCCACCAAAAGGGCAGTTCTGAAACGTAGGAGCAGGCAGCCTCTATGAACTACGGAGGCAGACGTGCCTTGGCCCTGTCCATCTATTCTCACGGTCACTCATGAATTCTGGCTTCTCTTTTGCTGTGTGACAAATGAACAGAACTCAGGGGCAGGATTCAATGAGTAAGTGGGCGTTGAGGGATGGCTCAGCCCTTCCCCATGAGGGCACAGCCTCCAAGACTCTTCTCCCTCCTGTCAGGGACAACCTCGGTGTGGACAACCCACCTGCTCACCCAGCCACTAAGAGGCGTTCCCCCCCCCCCGCCCCCCCCCCCCGGGTTCCTTGTGGAAAACTCAATTTCAGACCTACTGATTCAGGGTCTCGGGAGGTGGGACCCGGCCATACAAACTTTTATTGAATTCTCAGAGAATTCTGAAGCCTGGGAGAGGTCACAGCTCCCCGAGTTAAAGGCAGTCCCAGATCTCAGCCTCTCA